ACAATCTTCCCTAAACTTTTTCTATAATTTTTATTTCACACAAAATTTGTGAAGAACATTCTATGTGAAGAACATTTAAGAAACACCTGATTGGTTCCAAACACAAGGTAAAAAAATAAAGCTTAGCCAAAAAACAGATTGTGCTTTTTGTTAATTACTTTTGAAATTGTTTCGTGTCTGGTTACTGTGAATTAAATGAAAATGCAAGCAATCGCTAACATTTTTGAGATAACTCCAAGATAATTCCAAAGAAACCAGTACTGTTGACTTTCCTGCCAGTATTTGCCATCAAAACTAAGCAATCAGGAGAAGGGTTTGATTAAGGAAGCAGTAAAGTCTACCAACAGTTCCTGAGTCTTGTGCTTCTTGTACTTTACTACACACATGAATTCCTTGTAGATTTGTTAAAAGGAACACCTAATAGTTTGAGATGGAACCTGAGAATCAATGATTCTAATTAGCTCCTGAGGAGTGTTAGGACTCTGAGTCAGCCAGTTCCCGGGTCTTCCTCTTACTGCCTTTGGCATTTTGCTTGTATAACCCCTGGTGAAGATGCTGAATGATTTCCTGGGATTAATATCAGAGTCAATCATTATGTATACACCTTGTATTAGTCAGCTTTTCAGTACTTTAAGTAAAATATCTGAGAAGAGCATCTTCAGAGTGAAAAAGTTTGACTTTGGCTTAGCAGTTCGGAGGTTCACAGTCCGAGATTGGAAGCCACGATAGTCAGGCTGGTGATGGAGGCTAGTAGTGGTGGAAGTGCATTTTCTGGAAGCTCAGAGCTCAATATTAAATTTATTGCTAAATGGTGTCAAAGACTATGTAAGTGTAAATTTGTCCAAAATTGTATAGTTTGTTGAGTTCTTCTGTAATTGAACAAACTTGTTTCTGTTTTCATTCATTTCAAAAGTTCTTCCAACACATTATATGCCCTATATTACATTACAGAAAACATTTAGTTATCTCCCTGCAATGCTCCTGTTAGTTTCAGGCTTCCATGTCATAAGGTCAACACCAAGTCTCATCATTGGCAAGAGGCATAGAAGGGGTGATGGTGAACCAGTAATGGATGTCACATATACTGCCAACTATGAACTATTCTACTTAGTGAAATAAGTCTCAAAAAGATGTGTAGCAACTAACAGAATAATAATAATAATAAAAAACGCTGTAAGAATGAAAAGATGACTTCGGGACATGATTGTCATTTTTAGCCCATGTTTATACTCTTGTGGAACTTTCTTTTTCCAACTTTTTATTTGCTGAATATTATGATAACTGATGAATTAAAATATAATTTAGGATGGATTAAAATTACGTCTTTGCAAAAATTGATAAAGAGAGGAGGGGTAAGGAGAGGTTTGGGAAGAAAGTAGAGGAATAAGGAAAGTGTGGTGGTGTTTGAACTGCACCCTTGGAGCACATAAAATCTGTTCTCTTTACATTGATGAACAAAGTTAGAAAGAAGAAATACAATTTGCTTTTTGTACTGCACTTTTATATACATTATAAACATTAGCAACAACAAAAATAAAAACGGGAGAAGGGAACTTGGGTGTGGTTCAGTAATTGTGAGAAATACGGCATACTAATATGAGGAGTCAATAATGGAGGAAGCTGACTATGCTTCCATGATCACAACAAACATATCGTACCAAATAAGCTGCCAATAATAAAGGAACCTTGATGAGGGGGGCAGGTGTCTAGGAACTCTTTGTGCTACTTCACAGTTTTTGCTTAGTAATTTAAAATATTTTGAAATAAAGAGTTCTCAAATGAAATACTTTAAAAATCCAGCAATAAAATTGGAAAGAAAATTGGTAGCAAAACAAAATATTTCACTGAATTAGAAAAAGACTATTGTAAATGATGTAATAGAGAAAAAAAGAGAAGCTGTCTTATCTGTTAGTCAAAAATATTGTCACAGACTAAGCAAATGCTAACAAACCTCTACTTGTAAGAGAGTCCTTAACATATTTAACTTTTTCAAATTTCCAAGAAAATGCTAAATGATGAAGTTTTAAATGCGGTAAAAAATTACATAAAAATAGAGACACTAAAATTAATATATGCATTACAAAACTTAAAACAACAAATTGGTAAGCATCAATAAATAACGGCAGGACTCTGAGATTTGGCTCTAATTTACTGAAGAGCCTTAACTTCATTTGTCTCTGTAAGTAGCTACACGGGAAGGCCATTTTAGAAGCTAGAATATATTTCTCTAATTAAAGGAAGGGGGTTGGATGAGTATAAAACATTTTGCCAACCCATGAGACAATTACCAATATTAGTAGATGCAATAGCGTGAGGTACAGATTAAGGATAATCGTAATAAAAGGAAAGAGCAGAGATAATTCAATGTTCATGATTTACAAAGACACAAGGGAGCTTTCTCCACACCACCTGTAACCTGCATTGTGTTAGAGGAAAACTGGAAATGCTAATGAAGAATATGATTAAAGGTGTGCCTGTAGTTATAAATTGGTTTTTTAATAGCGATGATAGTGGCTGACATTGAATATAATAAGAAGATGAGAATGTCAGTATCAATTTTTATTAGGGCTATGAAAAATATACAGCATATTTAAATTAGCTTAATTTGTATTAGTATTTTTGTTAGTAGTTGCTTCAGAAGCAATAATATGTCCCGTATATTCTAAAAAGAAAAACTACACAAAGTTGTCAGTGCTCTCTACAAAATAACTATAACTTAAAAAACATGGCGTATTTCCTCCAATACTCAGAATTCAACACACAGCTGTGCTTATGGGGCATAACAGATCTTGAAATAAATTGGAAAAACAGTTGCAGAAAATGGATAGAGTTGTACCGAAAATAAGAAGACATGAAAAATAGACTCTTTGATTCAATTCAACACTGCTTTTTTTAAGGTTGATATGGAGACATAATTAGGGTAAATATCTTGGCCACTTAAAGCATCTAAAAAGTAGTTTGATGCCTACTTAACCTAATCATGATATCATGGTCATGAAGTTGAATATAAATATTCACAAAATTTGAGATGCTCACTTAATAATTTTTATAAACCAGTCCTTTCAAAGAAAAATGGGCAAGTTAATTTTTGTTATGAAGTTCTCAGAAATGATCACAACCATTTAAAGTTACTATAATAACAAATTAGAGAAAATTATGTTGGGCAAAAAGGTAAATTTTAAAAAATTTGGAGAATAAAAAACATGATGATTTTTGAATAATACCGCTGTCCAAGTTTAAGAAAACAAATCTATTGAAACATATATCAGAAGGGTCAAAATGAAGAATTTTGTTGAAGACTTGAACAAATATTTCTGGTTGACTTACACTTCGAAAGAGTATTAATTGTGTGAAAGAAAACAGGGCTTGCTGGTTCCGAAGCTAATTGAGTCTGGGTTACTTGCCACTTGAATAAGTTTTGGATAAAAACTTGTTTCTCCTACATGGTTGGTATACTCCGGCGGCAGCATGATGGACTTGGGAAAATTCACGAAAGACACACATTGTGAGACAGGAGGGGAGAACAGAAAGGAGGGCAGGGAGCTTGGAGGAGGGGAAAGGGAGACCCCAGCGCCAACTAAACTGTACCAAAGAACAATTTTAAAAACTTGTTTTTCTCTAGAGAGATCTCTTAAGCGGCCCTTTTCTCCCTCTGAGGGTTTGATTCCCTACAAAGACTTGGCAGTTCCTGCAGCAGGTGATCTGGCAATGCTCCCACAGACACGTGGCCAAGTGTTCATGAGCACAGTTCTTGTAGTAGACAACCGAAAAAGCAACCCATAGTATTGAAAATATTGGTTACACGTGGAGCACTTAAAGTCACCCAAAACTAGGGATTGGATTTGTCAAAGATAGTTTATTAAAAAATAAGAAATTAGACAAGAAATCATTTTCATTCTGTCCAAATATGTGCCTGTAATTATCTCATAAAAATAGTTTGAAGACTACCATTATTAATTATAAAATGGGCCACCCCAGCATGACTGCAGTTTTCTAGTAACAAACTTCCACATAAAAGAGCGGCAGCATGAATTCTGATAGAAACAGCTTCCACTAACCAGGTAAAAGAAAGCTCTGACAAAGCCTATCAGACAACCTGGAAGCAGCTATGCCAGCCTGTACTTTAAGGACACAAAATACAGGTGCCTGGAAACAGTTATGTAAACTGCTAAGGCACATCTCCTCAAGTTCAAGTGTACCAGTCTCAGGTCCACATCCTCGATGTTCCGAACAATTCCCTCAGGATCACATAAGGCTGTTGCCCTTTTTTGGAAAGATGGATGAAATAGTGGCTTTGGGTTTTCAGGGTTTGTAGGAGCAAATTCAGAGACGAGACATCTGCATCATCTTGTTTTTGATACAAAATATATCACCAGCATGTGTTTTTTCTTATAAAAGATACTTTTTTTGGAAAATTGTTACTCAACAAAGACTCAGTGAAAGAAAACCGCACTAGAATGTATTCTGTAAATCCTTTTAACCTAGGTTTTCCAGAATGTTATTTGAGGTGAAGTTAAGAATATATTTAAGGTGGAAATGCAGGGACAGAGATCCACACCCACAACCTGTTGGCTACATGACTCTGTAACATCTTGGCTTAAAAAAAAAAAAAAACAAACCTGGCTGCTGGATAGAACTATGTGAGTATTTAAAGCAAAAAGTGCATAGTTTAAGATTTAAGTTATTCGCTAATCAGGCTCATGAAGCACATCATGTGTATCTGAGAGAGTTTTTCACTCATCATCTGCTCAAAATCCAGCCGTGCAAGGTGCATAGCACGTGCTTCTGGAAGAAAATGGGAAATGCCCTGCCTTATAAGAAAATAATGGTTTTGTTTTCTGGCCAGAATATGGAATTGAATTGTTTCGGGTCCTGCGTAGAGCCAAACGAGCTTCTTGACATATTCTTCACACTACAAGGACTTTGGTACTTGGAAAATGCGAATCATTCTATTAGGAAGGATTATTCACATGAGAAAAAGTAGCTGGTGCAAACCTTACCTGAGCTCCTGGATTAGAGAATCCATTGGCACTGTTAACAAAAACAAACAAACAAAAAACCAAAAAAGAAAAGAAAACTCAATTAGTTGATGATGTTTCAGAACTGTGTGATTGAAATTCTTATATACCTGAAGATAGTCAGCAGTAAATATCTTGTACAATTCCTCAGAGTCTCTGCCATTTCTTATTCCAATTCTTTAGGGATAAGGGGGCGGATAGGCATGGTCCAGAACAAACACATTCTAGGTTCGGTGCCTCGGGTGGCCCCTGGGTCTGCACTGCTCAGATGGAACTTAACAGCCCCAGTCTTTTCAGTTTATCAACAAGTTTTGGTTTGGAAAGGAAATTATTCAAAAGAATCCCAGGATTATATTTTTTAAAATACATTAAATAAATACCAGGGAAAAACTGACAAAGCTTTGACTAAATGAATGTCCTAGGATTTTATTCTATAAACTGCCTTCAGATAGAAAGGGAGAGATAATCTTCAGACATGCTCATATCAACAACTTTCTAAAACAGGAAGAACTCAGAAAAGAGCTTTGGTTTTTTTTTTTTTTTGCCTGAAATGATGGGCACTGAAGAAGTTCATGTTTATAGTACCTGCCTACACGAGGATAAGCAGCATATTGGGAGAGACAACAGGTGGCTTTAAAGATTACTCATGTTTCACGAGAAACAGTTGTTTCATTTCTAGAACATTTTGGCTCTATTTAAGAGTGTATATGCATATGCCAAAGGATTTGAAGACAAGAAAGGATTGCAAACGAAAAGACCCACGTTTTAAAAGCACAATAGAATGGTCCCTTTTAGTCATCAAAATGAGAGATTCAAATCATCCAAATACAGTCTCCAGAATGCTGATATTTATGGCAAGCATGAGCTTATCTTAAATAATCAAACAAATTCTTTTTTTTAAGCTTGTATGCTATCAGGAAGCTTGCTGCATAAAAAAGGAAGATGTAGAAACACTTCTAAATATAAGCATATAGAATGTGGTTCTAAGTAATTTTTAAAAACTTATTTATTTGTAATTTCTTAGCAATAATTGCACAGGCATATGGACAAGAGTATGACATTACTACACATGCCTTCAGTACATATCAGCCAAATCAGAGGAACCATCAACCCCTCCTTGACATTCTTTACGAATGCAGGTGTGGACTTATTTTCTTCTGTTTGTTCGTGAATATACTAGTAGGGTATTGTCACCACTAGTTCCCATCTGTGCTGTGAAGTCTTTGAGATGGCTTCTTTTTATCTGTTATTTGATACCTACTGAAAGTAATTTAAACGGAATCTAAAAACTAGTACAGTGTGAAAGAGAAGTCTGCATAAAGTCCCATAATATGTGCTACATTATTCTACAATGTTGGTACTAAAGCTCATGGTATCCATGGTTGCATTCTAACCCAAAGGAATTATCCTTGTATTTATTGAAATTCATGGGATCCTGGACTTTTCAAATAAGAAGAGTTAACTTATTTGATTACATTGATGAACACACAGTTATGAAAGCATTCCATATAATGAGCCCCTTGTAACTGTGAATCTCAAACCACTTTGGAAGGAGCTGCCCTAACTCGGCTTTTTCTCTGCAAGGGTTATTCCATGATGGGCTGGTAGGTTGGTGGGCAGAGGGACCACTTTTCTTGAGTATTACAAGTGTTTTCAGAGACTCTTGTGAGCCTATGATTTTCCATGTAGAATTAAGAGTCACAAAAATACAGATAATTATAATAAAACTTATTCTCCTTGAGGGGTATTATTGCCAGTCAATCCTGCTTTCCAGATGTTTAGATCATCAAGGGCCCGTTTATATTTCAATATTACATCACCATCTGTTGGTTACAAAAAGCGAGGGATAACCGACAAGTTAAACCTTCCAAACATTACTTTGCAGAGCTGCTGAAAATTCCCAGCAGGGATAGCTAAAAAAACAAACACCATTATTCTACTTGAACAAAGTTTAGTCTGGGAGCTGCTAAAGAAGATAACATAGACTTAAACCTGCTTTGGCAATCAACAAATTCAATCTTTTCCTTTGATCATTAATTGTTGCTTCTATAATCTAAAGGTCTGCATGAGCATTCTTTTCTTGCCACACTTTTATCTTATGCATGATGCTCAAACCTCAGGGTGGTTATGTTTTGTGAAAGTTATAATCATGCATCATTTGGACTTCACTGAGCCCTTTACCTTTTGTTTTAGTTTCATCTCTCTGAAAGCATACTCAGTGCTTTGGCTTGATTTGAGAAAAGAGCCACTGGGAAAACGATAATCATCCTGATGATTCAGTGGGGACGGATCCCTGGAATGCTCATCTTCAGTGCTATGGGGAGACAGGGTGGCATGGAACCTGCTTGCCAACTCACCTGCAGTTCCTTTAGCTCGGGTATGCAGTGTTTTATCTTCAGTTTCTGCATCCATCTGTAAGATGAATACAGAGTCTTGAGGTCATTCCTGTGGCACTGACCAAAATACCAAATCATGCAATCAGTAGTTCTGAAGGTCAGTATGGAAAAACAGAACAGCATTGTGTGTCTTGAATTCCATACTGTCGTTTCAGGGAGACATGACTGCCTTGCCATGCCATCAGTTTTAGGGACACATGATGGTAACCAGAGAGAACAGTGATGAGAGGGCTGTTGTTCTTGTGCACAACTGTTTGCTAGTGATTCAAATATTTCTGACATTACACAGAGAGAACAAGGATTGAATAATAGCTATTGTCCAGGAAATGACAACTCAAGTGCCAAACCAAAAGATTTCAGACTGATTTACAAAAACTTAATTCCTTTGCACTGTTAGGCCCTGCCTGATACACATCTCTCCCTAAGTCAGGAAAAATATTCCCTGTGTGAATAAACAACATGAAGGCAGTCTCCTAAAATGTCCCCAGATTACACTTTGGAAATTTTCAGCAAAATATGGACAAACATTTATCCCCAGGAATCTGGAGAACAAGATATGGGTTTTAATCATCCACACATATACACAGATGAAATCTGAGGGGTACCAGTATCATATTCCCTGAGACATCTTTTCTAAATATTTGAAATTTAATCAAATACATTATCAAAGGGGTGCAAAGACTTTCAAAGCCTGATGTTTCTATATGCTGTGACCCGAAGAACCCATCCATTTCATTAGAATCTGCTAATCATCTCTGAGCTTAATTCACTCAGGCACATTATCAAAAGGAATTCTTAAATGTAAATAAGTTGCTTTGCTTGTTGAGAATCAGAGGCAGGCAGAAGGCACACTCCATGGCCCCCATCCTTAAATCCTGACACGAGCCCGGCTGCAGTGTGACTGCAATGGTAATGGGAGCTGCGTCTCCACTCTCAGAGGCTGGGTTGTGATTGAAGGCACTGACCTGCCATAGACTTATAATAGGGGAGCAGGTGTGGCAATGATGGACTTTAATTTCCTTTAATAAACCTTTTATGTGCCACACTTTTACTGCCATTCGACGCTCTCCAAGGTCCTGCACATAATAGGTTCATTACTTTTGATTACTATAGTCTATTGAGACAAACAACTCCAGAACACACTATATATTATGTTCAGTTAAACCAATATAGACTATTTATCCATTGTGCATTTTTTCACCTGCAACACTACAGGCAAAATTAACAACAGCTCTTGTGAGCTCAAACTATTAAAACCACCAGAACTCTTTTGTCATCATTTAAAATAAACACCATACTGATCATTGAACTGCTTCTTAAATTAGAGAACAAAAAAAAGTGTGCTCTGCTTTTGTTGAACAGCAGTTGCTTGAGTCTAAACAAAATGGTTTATTGTTAGGAATGTTTTAGAACTGCAAAAGAAGAGAAAACAACAATAAAGCAGAAGTGATTTTTTTCCCTCTGTTGACGTCTCTTCTTTTAAAACCACATTGAGCTCATGACAGATGTGACACAGTCTGAGATGAAAGTGGCTTGGTTTACTCAGGATGGTGAGTGCTGACTGCATGGTGAAATCCTCCCCTCCCAAGGGTAACTCTGTCACATGTAAAGTGGCTCAACTCTTGCAGATGTCCATCCATGTGCTAGCCCAGCATTTAGATTAAGCGACATCAGTACCATGTGAGTGTTAAAATGATGAAATCCATCAAATGAGGAAGCCACTCCCTTAAGGGAGCATCCACATAACTTGAGCCTATTGTTTGCCTAACATGCAGGTACAGTAGATTCTCCCTGTCACTCTGAAAAAGCCCCCCAAAAAGCAAGATAAGTTTGAATTCCTTGAGTTACTTTACCAAAACTGAAACGCCAGTTATAGAAAGAGTCATTAGACACTTGCAAATATTTTAAAAGCACCACTAAATGTAACCCTCTTTGTAATAGCTTGAAGCATAATTTTGTTTTAAGGCTTAAGCCCCTGCCTGTCTTCTTACCACCACATACAGCAACATTTCCATTAAAATCACTAGAAGGAATGTATAAATATTCATGAGAACTCTCTTCAACCATGTTTGGTAAGTTGGTCTCATAATTGTATCTGGGCTTTTGTCCTCTTTTTGGTATAACACATTTTTATAAACATTTCCAAAGTAAATGGAATCATAAAACCCAGTTTTCCAACTTAACTTGTGAACTAAGTAGTGAAATGTATCAAGGTTACAACATAACAACTAGTACATAACAACCAGTACAACATTACAACCAGTACAGTACAACTTATTTTCTTTTCTCCCTATCTGGTAAAAAATGTTAAGTTCAGTGTCTAGTCATGATAAATAGCTCATTGGGGAACAACACATAAGAAACCCCAAGGACATGTGGTTTTATTTAGGGAAGTGAAGTTTTACTGTTCATGTAATGGCTTTCTTTTCTCATGGATCTAAAGTCAGCAACAGGTCTCCAATTCTCTAGAACTTTGTATCTGGGAGTTTCTAAATACTCTTAACTTGGATTGTTCTAATGGACTTTGATGTATTGTCAATAGATTGGCCTAGCTTCTGGAAAATTAAGTTTCATATTTAATGGATATTCTTAAAATCACAGGGCATTTAACATGATTCCTATTTCTGTGTTAAGACCCCACAAGTGGTAAAAGCTCATATACAAGTTCCATTATGGCAATGTGATTCAGGAAAGTGAATGGATGACCTATATTGAAATCTGGAAAATTACATTTATTATTGGGAACTTTGTTTTGTTTTCCACTAAGAAAAGAGACTTGCTCATTATGACTTAAGAAAAGCTTCCAATTAATTTTGTAAGAGTTTCTAGGTCATTTATGTTTTTTTAAAAAGTAAATTTTATTGTTTGAAAAGCTGTCCTTCTCCAGATTTTCTAGGTCCTGTTAATGCCACAGTCTACGTATATTGTATTTTGTTCCCACACCTCCCACAGGTTATGATTTTTGAATGTAGTCAATAGAAAACATTTTCTGGGATTACTATAATGAGTTCCTCCTGACTTTATCAATCTACTACTCAACAGAGATGGGCATATTCAAGGGGAACTCCATCAATCCTTAATTTTCTGATCTGAAATCACTAAGTCCAGCATATCCAGTAAGTGTGGACATATTATGCATAGTGTCTATGCAGGAAGGAGAAAGCAATTCTTACTCAGTATCTAAATCACAATAAAGTCGTGAAGAAAGCTTTTTTAAAGGTTTCACAGCCCAATTTTCTAGGGGCAGAAATGAATACAAAAACATGGCACAAATTCACAAAAAGAAAAAGAACAATATTTGGAGGAAGAATGTGTGAGAATCAAAGTGAAAATGTAAAGCAGCAGATATACGATAAAGAGGAAAATGACCTTAAAATAAAATACAACTGTTTAATTTTAAAAGTTCTCACTTAACATCTTAATAGCAGCTAAAGTCCTCGCCTTGCACATGCTGGGTTCTCATATGGGCGCCAGTTCTAATCCAGACAGTCCTTCTTCCCATCCAGCTCCCTGCTTGTGGCATGGGAAAGCAATCGAGGACAGCCCAAAACCTTAGGACTCTGCACCCATGTGGGAGACCTGGAAGAGCCTCTGGGTTCCTGGCTTCAGATCAGCTCAGCTCTGGCCATTGCAGCGACTTAGAGAGTGAATCATTGGATGAAAGATCTTCCTCTCTGTATCTCCTCCTCTTTGTATATCTGACTTTCCAACAAAAATAAATCTTAAAAAAAGCATTTTATACACTTATAAGCCTATGTAGGTACTTAAGGTCTCCTAGTTATGTCTCCTAGTTATGGTCTCCTACTTAACTAGCTTTTACTATGAGAACTTTCAGTCAGCTAGGAAAAGAGCAAAAGACATGAACAGACATTTGTCAAAGGCTAAAATGGAAATGGCCAACAGACACGAGGAAATGTTCTGGTTCACCATCATTCAGTGAATGCAAATAAAAAGCACAATGAAGTTTCACCTCAGCCTAGTAAGAATGCCTATCAACCCAAAAAACAAATCATAAATTCTGGTGAGGATGTGGGATAAGAGTGTTCTAATTCCCTGTTGGTGGACTTGTTAATTAGTACGACCATTGTGAAAGGGAGTAGGGAGATTCCTCAGATATCTTAAAATAGATCTGTCATATGATCCAGCCATCTATTCTTGGGAATTTAACCAAAGGAAATGAAATCAGCAAATGAGAGAGTAATCTGTATTCCTGTGTTTGTAGCATCTCAATTTACAGTAGCTAGGTTTGGAATCAAGAATGAATGAATAAAGAAAATATGGCACATATATTCTCAGCCATAAAATGTTACTCAGCCATAAAAAAGAATGAAATCTTGTCTTCTGCAACTAAATGGATGAATTAGAAACCATTATAATGGCTCAGTAAAATAAGCTTTGTTCCAAAGGATAAATATTACATAATTTCCCTAATCTCAAATAACTAATTTATATAGTAAAAAAAATGTAATCTATAGGTTCAAGAGGGACATTCTGAAATTTGATTATTGTGTAGAGCTTTTGTTTATACTCCCAAAGAACAATGTTTTGTTTTGTTTTGATTTTTGTTTGCTTGTTTCTTTTTTGTTCTCTGTTATAGTTTTGGCATGTGTTGATATGTTTCTTAAGGGAGTATCAAGCCTATGGAAAATATAAATAATAAATAAATGAGGTCCTGTCTTGAAGGTGATCTCTTTCATATCATCCACTGCAAAGAGCTGAAACCTTCTTTGGGGTTGAATAGAAAGTTGTGGCATTGCTGCTATGCCAAGCTAGATTCAAGGAGCAGGGCACATAGTTCATAAACCCTGCTTAGCTCTCACTCCCACACGACAATCACCGCTTTCATTCCTTCTGAATTCCATTTTCCACCCTAAATCCTATTTTTCACTAATGATAAAACTAAATCAACTAAATAGTTGATCACTTCTTAAAAATTGCATAAAACAATTTCCTTAGTTATATTAAAGCTTATTTTTCCTTTCCACAGAATTCCGTGTACCAATATCCTCAATATATATTTGCAG